TATCACTTGAGCACCTTTCTTCATAAAGAACAAACTTGTATCAAAAACTGAATTGGTAAAACCCCATGAGATGAGAACACCTTTTAGCTTGTCAAACCAAGCTCTAAGAGCTTGTTTCAAACCATATAGAGCTTTATGAAGTTGACAAACATGCTTGGGATATGTAGAATCAACAAATCATTCAGGTTGCATCATGAACATAGTTTAGGTTAAGTCACCATTTAAGAAAGCATTGTTTATATCGATTTGTTGGATATCCCACTTGTAATGAATAGCAAGGGAAAGCATAATTCTGATTGTAGCAGGTTTGATAACTGGGGAAAAAGTATCAAAATAGTCAAGGCTTGGTGTTTGTTGAAATCCCTTTGCCACTAACCTTGCTTTGTATTTTTGTAAGTGCCATCAGATTTTAACTTGGTTCTAAAAACCCATTTACATCCTACCAAGTTCGTACCTGAAGTGTAAGGGACTAATTTCCAGGTATTGTTTCTTTGAAGTGCTTGAAACTCTTCCTGCATTGCTGCCTTCCATTTTGGACTATTTAAACCTTCTGTGGCAGATTTGGGTTTAGCCAAAATATAAAAAGTAGATAACAAGGCTTGCTCTGGAGGATGTACATGTAAGTGGCTTTTAGATCTAGTAACCATAGGATGATGATTGGTAGTTGGTAAGGAAGAAGGTTTAGTGATAGGGAGAATTACCTCAAGCTGAATTCCAGCAGAACTAGTACTAGCTTTGTCATGATTAGAGGTAGGGTGAGATGCATCAGTTATATTATTTAAATCAGACTACAGGATACTAAATTCTGAACAATCTACTATTGGGTGTATCTACTACTGAGGAATAGGAAGGGCAGATTCTGAGTTTCTTAAAGCAGATTCATGTACTGAAGGATGATTTGTTTCATGTGTTGAAGATGAGTGTATGTTATTTGAGGATGAGTTGATGACATTTGGAGGATGGCAGGTTATAGGCTTGGGTGCTGAAATGACTCTAGCAGATGGAATAAGATCAACAACATGAGAGAAATTCCAAGGAGTGGAACCATGAATAACATCACTCAGTTCAGCACTATCTTTGTCCTTAACCAGAGAGCATTTAAAACCATCTTTGAATGGGAATTCACCTTCATTAAACCGAGATTGTTTAACAACATAAAATTTCCCTGAAGAGGATAAACATTTATACCTCTTGTGAACTGAACTATAGCCAAGGAAAACACATCTTTCAGTGTGATAAGAGAGTTTATGCTTCTGATATGGCCTGATATAGGGGTAAAAAAAACATGCAAAGACCCTAAATTCATCATAGATAGGTTCATCTCCAAATCGTTTTTGAAAAGGTGATATTTCTTCAATAGATACAGAGGGCAACCTGTTGATAAGATAAGTTGTAGTAGTGAAGGCTTGCCACCAAAAACACAATGGCATTGAAGCATGAGCCAAAAGTGCTAACCCAAATTCTGTTATAACTTTATGTTTCCTTTCCACTCTTCCATTTTGTTGGTGGAGGTAAGGACAAGGGTGTCTAAATGCAATTCCATGTGTTTGTAGGTAATTAGAGAAAGGCCTAAACTCTCCTCCCCAATCAGTTTGTAGACATTTTAATTTTGCATTCAATTGTCTCTCAACAAAAGATTAAAAATGAGAGAAAATAGTAAAAGCTTCAGACTTCAACTTTAATGGATAAATCCAAACAAATCTACTAAAATCATCCACAAACAACATATAATATTTGTATCCTTCAGTTCAACATACTGGTGCAAGCCCCCACAAGTCTGAATAAATTATCTCAAGAGGACTTGTGGTCTCAGAACTAGACAATGGAAAAGAAGCTTGCTGCATTTTTCCAAATTGACATGCTTCACATAAGGACAGCTTATTTCCAAAATTCCCACAAATATTCATTTTATTCATTACAGATTTCAAAGTCTCCTCTTGTGGATGCCCTAATCGAGCATGCCACAACTTGGTTCTACTATTTCTAGCATCAGAATTATTATATTTAGTGCAGTTACTCTCACTACTTGTGGTTGCTGAAACAGCAGGAGCTTCAGTGACTTTATTATTTGAAATTGAAACAGCAGGATCATCAGAGTAACATTGGATGCTTGAGATAGAAAGATAGAAGCAGCTTGTTCATCATTGAAGGAGACAGTGGTTGGAAAGGATAATTGTAGTTGATACAAACCATCCTTCAAGAGTCCTTGTATAAGTACCCTTTTGGTGGCCTTATCCTTTATTACACAGTGATCAAAATAAAATTCCACAACAACATCATTATCTCTAGTTATTTGTGAGATACTCAATAGATTTTTAGCTATATGTGGCACACATAACATCTTCCTAAGATGAAGTAATTTAGGATAAAAAGTGGAAGCTAGAAAAGACTCATCTGTATGAGTAATAGGGACAATTTGGCCATTGCCTACTTGGACTTGTGATCTACCTTGATAGTTGTCTTTCACCACCAGGTTGGTTGGTTCAGCAGTCATGTGATTGGTTGCTCCAGAGTCGATATACCATGTTTGGTCAGCAAACACTTGTGGTGTGGCTATTGGTCTGTTGTTTTGAAGAACTGAAAAATTATTACTCTTGAGTATTTTTAGCAACATTGCTGTCAGGAGCTTCTAATCGAATCATAGTAGGTTGGTGAGGATGCCCAAATAACATAGACTGCTGAAGTTGTTGATAATATGCACGTGACTAAGAAAGGTTTGCTCCACCATGACCAGGATAGCCGTGACTGAAGGATCAAGGTGCACAACCTCGCACAGATTGGACAGGAAGCATTTTTGCAGCCAACAGAGCTTGGAGTGATTCATTGGACTAATTTTGAAACTGTCCTTATGATGAGCCAGAGTTAATAAAGCTTGGACTTTGATTTATAAAATTCCCTTGGTTCTGATTATTGAAACCTTGAAAGTTATGATCAAAGCGGTGGTAACACTGAATTGCGGAGTGTCCCCCTTTTCCACAAACTTGACATATAAGTCTTTGTCGAAAATGTCCCCTTCCTCTGCCTCTACTTTTCATCATGAAAGGATTGTACACAAAATTACCAAAAGAGGTCAACTGATTTACAAAGTCACCATTCTGTACAAATTGAGGTTGAAACTGAGTATTAAGAGGTTGAAACTGAGTATGAAGATCAGGCTTGAAGCTTTCTTGAGACACATTGTTGTTACTATATTGAGGATTTCCAGGGATTGAGTGAGAGATCATAGGTTGAAAAGCTGGAGATATACCAGCTAGATTTTGACCATTAAAAGGGGCGACTGATGGGGTGACTGACTTGTTTTGGTTTAAAACAGGGGAGTCAGTGGGGCTTTGTTTAGCTACTAATAATGCAGAGGCAAGCTGATCATGTAGATTTGTAAAAGAATTGCTCTGTCTCTCCAACCTAATCTCATGTTTATGAAGCAAGAATTGTGCTTCTTGGAGAGTTGTCTGACTACTGGTTGCAACTAAATTTGCTACTACGGCATCATATTCGGGTCCTAACTCATCCAATATGTAGAGTAACAGCTCTTCATCACTTAGGTTTAAACCACTAGCTATCAATTCATCCCCTAACTCTTTCATTTTTAAGACATAATCACTAACACTTAGGGCATCCTTTTTGGTGTTTTGCAACATGTTTCTCTAAGTGATGGGTTCTAGCTTTAGATACACCTTGAAAATGTAGTTCTAGTAAATTCTATATCTCATACGAAGTGCTACATTTTGTGACATGCCGAAACATAGACTCAGAAATGGTGGATAGAAGCCAACTTACCAGAAATTGGTCGCCTTTCTTCCAGTTGAAATAGCCTGGATTTGGTTTCTTGACTGTTGTTTCTAAGCTCTCATCTTTCTCAAATTTGAACATTGGAGGACAAGCCTTCTCTCCAGTGATAAATCCTTCCAGTCCATGAGAAATTAAAGCTGGTAGGACTTGTGAATGCCATAACGTATAGTTTTTCTCCAGTAATTTGATAGAAATGGATGGTAATGTGGGTGGAATGTTGGAGTTTGTGAGGAATAAGAAATCAGCATCCATATCGTTTGATTTAGAATCTAATTTAGCTTAGGTATTATCAACAATCACCATTGACACTGGTCTAATGACTCTGATACCATGAAAGTTTTCCAGAATCAAGAAACAAGAAAGAGGGATTTAGACGACTCTAGAAGAAAGTCAATACTCTGTTTCTGATATTTCTATTTGAACTGTTGACTAAAAACAGAAATAAGAGGCTGTTAGATACTCAGCCAATCAGTAGAAAAATGCAGCGTTTCATGCTGCTGTAAAACTAAAACGCAGTGTTTCAATCGTTTTTAATACAAACTAAGCTACTTTTAAAATACATCCTTACAATTGATTTGCTTTACTCTGTTCAATAAGTCTCATCAATTGGGTTGCTTCAAAAGAAGGATCAATGATTAACCTCATCGAGAAATTTTTGTCAACGTCCTATGCTATCACTTCAAAGACAGCTCTTGGCGGAAAAAGCAAAGATCCTGATTTATTCATATCTGTTATTGATAGTGTTTGTGTGCTGGAGATAACTAAGAAAAGAAAGAGAGCAAAAAACGATTGAAGAAAAGTGCCTATTTTTTCTTAAGTTCAAAAGAGTTTACACTTCAACTAATAAAGCAGATTTTTTACACTATTACACCAAACATGCAGACATATAAAAACTTAATTTAATCTGAAGCTACTGACTTAATACCAACTAAACAACAACTCTGTAACACATCCCACATAATCTGGGATACATATCAAGCATTACAAAAAAAGTAAAACTTTGCAGTATTACAAATGGAACCCTGGCAGATTGCCTTTCAGTTTTACCGCCAAAAACATGTTTGAACATCAGTTGAACTGCTGCATTTCCAGCCAAGTATCAACCTTCAACAGTTATCAAGGAAACTTTGAAGTTGATGGCAGGCTTTTATATCTCAGATCTGTTTCCTTCAATCAAATTGCTCTAATCGATCAGTGGAATCAAGTAAAAAATGGAGGTGCTGCACCAAGAATCTGACAGAATACTTGAAAACGTTATCAATGAACATAAGATGTCTGACAAGAGTGAAATAAATAAAGATCTGGTTGATGTTCTCTTAGGATTTCAAGGGTGTGATGACCTTCAATTTTCCTTAACAACCGAGAACATCAAAGCAGTTATTTTTGTAAGTATTTTCACTAGTACAATGTTTTAGTGTATATTAAAAAAGTTGGCATCACGTCAATATTTGTAGAAAGGATCAAGATCAACTATAGGGTTCATGAAACAATTAATATATCATATATAATTTATATTAAAAGATACCTTTTATAATTCACTTTATAAGGTTTCAATTTTTGTACTATATAGTGCTAAAACTATTTATATGCTCTCCTGAGGATGTATCTCAAATGGATAATCATGCACATAATCATGTTTTTTCACCTTAAAGTTTTATGGTGTTCATATAATACTTGAGCTGTCCTAATTTATGCAATAGTGTTTGGAGTCAGCATACACTTTTCCTTATATAAGGTGGAGTGATATTGTTAAGTCCCCTCCATATATTATGCATGGTTTAACTTCCTTTTTAGGATGTTTTTGTTGGTGGCAGTGACACAGTTGCAACAACAATCGATTGGGCTATGTCTGAGATGTTAAAAAATCAAAGATTAATGAAAAAGGCGCAAGATGAGGTGAGAGAAGTCTTTAATAGAAAAGGAAAGATTGATGAAACAAGTATTAATGAAATGAAATTCTTGAAGCTTGTAATAAAAGAGACTCTGAGATTACATCCTCTCGTTCCTTTGTTAGCTCCAAGAGAATGTGGAGAGAGATGTGAAATTAATGGATTTAACATACCTGCTGATACAATAATTGTGATGGAACTATGGGAGTTTGGACTGAACAAAGATATGGAACAGCAAGATAATAATAATATTTGATACTCCACTTAAGGTAGGAACCACCGTTACACGCAATGTGTTAATCAAAATACTCAATAATCCTTTCTAACTCAAAGACTCTCTTTCGATAGGCTTACCTCTCCAACCTGGTATCATTCCTAAAATTCAGATACGATAAAGCTAACATGCAAATAATGATAAGGATAAACAACTCTTCCTACTATCCCTTATTCTTATCCTACCAATAGAACTATTCTTGATATTTAGGATTGGGAGTCCTAATCCTACTACTCTTCCGAATAGAATCCCCATTAACATGCAAATAATGATAAGAATAAACAACTCTTCCTACTATCCCTTATTCTTATCCTACCAATAGAACTATTCCTAATATTTAGGATTAGGAGTCCTAATCCTACCACTCTTCCGAATAGAATCCCCATCACTTGCCAGCCATGCCCATGCGCCCCCGCGCGCCGCCCCCACCCCCCCCCCCCCCCCCCCCCCCCCCCCCCCCCCACCCCAAAAAGAACACGATCCTTGTCCCCAAGGTCGAAGTGAGGAAATTGTTATGAAAGACATGTCACTTCTTCCCACATGGCATCTTCAGGAGGCATATTCTTCCATTGGACAAGAGTTTCTGTGACATACTGAGCTCCCCGTTTCACCCACCAGAAATCTCGAACGTGTTGCGGTTGGAGCAATGGTATGTTGGTTTCAGAAAAGGGCGACAAGTCTGAGGTGATACGAGACACATCACCCACCTTTTTCTTGAGCAAGGAAACATGAAAAACTGGGTGTATCCTTGCGTGTTAGGAAGAGCCAATCTGTAAGCGACCAGTGCAATCCGCTCCACAATCTGATAAGGCCCGAAAAAATGACTAGCTAACTTCTGATGGGCTCATCGGAAAACACTGCACTGCCGTTAAGGCTGTAGCCATAAGAAAACCCAGTCACCAACCTCGAACACACAGTCACGTCGCTTTTGATTCGCAAGTTGCTTCATCCGATTACTTGCTTTTTCCAAGTGACCCTTCAACTGATGCAGTAGCTCATCCCTCTCATGAATGCCCTTATCAACTTCATCTACCATAGAAGTGCCGTCTAAATAATTTGCAATTGTCGGTAGTGGTCGTCCATACAATGCTTGAAAGGGAGTAGTACCCAACGATTGGTGAAATGTGGTGTTATACCAGTATTCTGCCCATGGTAAGTATTGACACCATTTTTTTGGGTGTTGGCTGCAGAGACAGCAAAGATATTGTTCCAGACATTGATTGACCACCTCCATCTGGCCGTCCGATTAAGGATGATACGCTGAACTCATCTTTAATTGGGTGCCTTGCAGTTTAAAAAGTTCCTTCCAAAATGCGTCAACAAACACGCAATCCCGATCACTCACCATTGATTTAGGAATACCATGGAGGCGCACAATCTGAGCAACAAAAAGTGCAGCAACCATCCGAGCTGTGTAAGGATACGATAACGCTAAAAAATGGCTATATTTGGTAAGGCGATCGACCACAACCAACACCATAGTTTTGCCATCTGAAGAGGGTAACCCTTCCACAAAATCAAGAGATATGTCCTCCCACACCTGCGTTGGAACTGGTAAGGGTTGTAAGAGTCCAGCCGGAGAACGAGAGTCCGATTTGTTTCGTTGGCATTCATCACAAGCTACCACATGCTGCTGCACATCATGTTTCATACCTTCCCCAAAAAAAAGATTGCCTTACCCTCCTGTAGGTGCGTAAGATACCAGAGTGACCTCCCACTTTGGAATTGTGACACTCTTGGAGTAACGCTGACTGCAAGGATGAAGATGGGGACAACACAATCCTGTCCTTGTACAGTAGCAGACCGTCACGATTTTTAAGGTATGGGTGTCGGTCTGGATGACTAATAAGCTTTTGATGCAAATCCACTAAGTAAGGTTCTGTAGTATTGGCTTGTTTCAACTCTGCCCACAACTGGAAGTGTGGCCCACTAATGGCAAATAATATGGGCATACGGGATAGTGGATCTACAACTAAATTCATTTTTCCCGGACAAGATGTAATCTCATAGTGATACCACAGTAATTTGGAGACCCATTTTTGTTGCTTAAAAGTAACCACCCTATGCTCCAAGAAAAATTTTAGGCTCTTTTGGTCTATCCAGATTTGAAAATGTCTGCCTAATAAATATGGTTGCCATAGTCGAATAGCCTCCATGATAGCCAACATTTGTCTAGAGTGGACTGACCATCCTTGCTTCTTAGGCCCAATTACTTTGCTCATAAAAGCCAAAGGACGTCCCTGTTGAGCCAAAACTACTCCAATACCTGTACCAGATGCATCTGTCTCCAAAACAAACATGTCAAAAAAATTTGGTAACCCTAATATGGGTGTGGTGGCCATAGCCAACTTCAACTCCTCAAAGGCTTTAGTTGCTTCCAGACTCCACCCAAACTATCCTTTCTTCAATAAATGGGTCAATGATTGAGCAATAATACCATAATTTTTGACAAATTTACGGTAGTAACCTGTAAGCCCAAGGAACCCATGCAACTCCATGATGGTTTTAGGCTGAGGCCAATTTTGCATGGATTGTTTTTTTCGTGAGTCAACTTTCACCCCCTCAATTGTAATAATGTGGCCTAAATAGTCTACCTCGGTCTAACCAAACACACACTTGCTAGGCTTCACCACAAATTGTTGGGTGGCCAATATTTCAAAAGTCATCCGTATGTGAGCCAAATGATCCTCCCAACTTTGGCTATAAATTAGAATATCGTCAAAGAAAACAAGGATAAATTGACATAAATAAGGTTGAAAAATAGCATTCATAGCAGCCTAAAAAGTAGAAGGTGCATTACAAAGGCCAAAAGGCATCACCAAGTATTCGTAATGGCCATTGTGAGTACGAAAGGCGGTCTTGTGAATGTCCTCGGGGACAACCCAGATTTGGTGATAACCCACCCTTAAATCCAATTTAGTAAAATATTGCGACCCAAATAATTCATCAATCATATCATCTACTGTAGGTATAGGAAAACGATCTTTAATAGTAGCCGCATTCAAAGAGCGATAGTCCATACAAAATCACCACGTGCCATCTTTGTTTTTCACAAGTAAAATAGAAGAAGAAAAAGGACTACTACTGGGTCGAATTAAACCAGACTCCAATATATCAGCTACTTGACGTTCAATCTCATTTTTTTGAAAATGGGCGTACCTGTATGGTCTGACGTTTATGGAGTCGGTGTCTGCTTTGAGGGGGATGTGGTGGTCAAATGATCGTGACGGGGGCAATGAAGAAGGAACCTGTAGGACTGTTGGAAAATCAGCAAGAATAGCTTGAATTTCATCCGCTACAAAAGAGTGAGACTCGGTTTTGGCCTGTCTAACAGCTACAATAAAGACTTTACCTCTTGAGGACACTTGTCTACCCAACATGGTGTTGCTAATGGCATGGCCTCGTAGTTTGCATTGAGCCACTATCTCATACAGCTTATCTCCACGTGTGAGTGTCATAGAAAGCGTTCCCCAATCACATGTGACTGGACCTAATTTCTCGAGCCATTGAATTCCCAACACAGCATCTAATCCATTCAACAGAAGGGAAAAAAAAGTGACTGCCATATCCAGCCCTTGTATTAATAATTTTACCCTTTCATGTTTCTCTCAGCAACATAATTTCTCCCCGTTGGCCATTGTAACCCAGAATTTGTCAATTAGAGTGACCAACAATCCCAAATGTCGTGCTAACCTCTGATCAATGAAGTTGTGCGTGGATCCACTGTCAATCAAAACCAACACTCTTCGGTAACCAATCCTACCAACCACTGTTAGAGTCATGAAAGTGACTCTATTTTGGTGATAAAAATACCCCAAGTGTGATTAAACTGAAGTATATTGAGACATGAAAATCGCTTCCTAATATTTTTCTTATGAATTTAACATGTTTGGAATGATTTTGGAAAGGATATGAGTTGATATTAGGTTCTGGTTTATGGATTAGGGGTAATTTTGTCTCATTTATGCTGTTTAGGGGGTAAACTGTCATATTTATAAGGGCTGATTTTGTCATGTTTCAATTATGTAGGGACCAAAGTGATATTTTGCATTTTATTCTATAAAAGAAAACGAAAGGTCGCGTTTTCCAAAAGGCGCTGTTCACCATTTTTCGACAACTCCTTGTCGTCCTTTCCGGCGGCCTCCAGCGACGATTCATCTTCCCCGACCATCTATCATCTTCATCAGCCATCAACACCACCGTGAGACGTGATTTACTGCAACGATTGTTCATATTCTACCGTCGCAACTGTTCGCATTCTAGTCGAGATTTTGTCATTTTTCGGATTGATCTTCCTTCCCCATGGCTGGATCTACCCATTCCAAGCTTCAGTCGCCGTAAAAATCGTCGGAATCCGCCAAATTGCTGCCGTGCCTCTTCATCTTCCAGCCCAGATCTTGCTCATTTCCGACAACTTTTCACCTCCTCAGAACCTAATCTGAACTCCTTATCACCAAAGCTTTCCATTAGTAACTTTGGATCCCATTTCCGCCACCATTTTCTGGAAGACCCGCCGAAAAATTAACGTTTTCCTGTGAGTGCGGCTGTTCTTATTCTGGGCTATCTGGTGGTCGTTTTTGCCCCTTCTTCACATCATATCGCTTTTGGTTACCTCCTCTCTGCCATGATCAGCTTTGTTTCCACTGTTTCAGCCTCCGTCATCACCACTATGAGCGGCTAAGTTCCCGATTGTCTGTTACAGCATAGGTGAGATTGAGATTGACTCCACGACTCTGCTCATCAGCTCTCGACTAGTTGGATAAGCCCGATTGTAAGACATTTGGTAGTATTGTGCTTCAGATTATATTTGTTTTCGTTTCATGTTTGATTTCGATACTTCAATATGGTTTGAGCATAATCTATGGTGAATATTGTTGTCCATTGTGATTTAATGTTTTCATAGAACTCGCTGAATGATAAAAGTTGGTTTGAAATAATTAAATGATGAATATTGCTTTTCATTACTTCGCATCGATTGTAAT